CAAAAATAACATATAACTACACTGTTACGGTGTGTATTATCAAAGCATTCCAAGGGCAACAACACACAAGCACAAAGCTACATATTAAAAAAAATTAATTAAATATGAGGCCTTTGAAAGTTTTTCCCTTTTTTTTCACTCCTGAATTGTTTTAGACATCGACTGTTTTCTCCTGAGCACTGATTGACAGTGAAAAGTCTTCTTTTCCTGATGCTTCCATGAAGCTTACGGTCAAGTCTCTATTGTCAGATACGGCAGACATGCTGTGGAGCACAAATGATGTTTGTCAGTCTTTTATTTCTCTGCCTTGTCCGAGTCAAGATGTACAAAACAGCTCGATCCCCATAACTCAATTATTTGTTAAGTTTATGACGAACGAATAATTAAAAAAAAAACGAGATGTTGAAGCTGAACTCTGCCGTTCCTTCTGATCATTCCTGAGTTGACGTTTGAATAGTTTCTGTTGGGTGTGTGATTGTATCCTTCCAGTTCTGCTTTGTCAACCCTGAAAAAAAGAAATCTAAGCTGCCCTAAACACTTTTAATGTAGAAAATTACTTGGCCAGGGTTCAAAATGTGCATGTGTGCGTGTGTGCATGTGTGTGTGTGAAGAAGAGAGGAACAATTTTAATTAGGCAAATGATACAGATTTCCTCAAGGGAGAGCTGACACGGTGTTATGATCACATTAAACAGGAATGATTTTTCTTTCAAAGACAGGATGAGTGAGGAAGGTGCAGATCAAATAGAAAAGAACATTTCTCTGTTGTTGTTTTTTTTCTTAGTCATTCATTTATTGATATATTTTGGGAAATTTGAATGAACAAGCACAAACTCTACAGTGACGTACTGGTAATTTGGTACAGGGAACGGGAACCAAAGACCAGTTCCCAATGGTCCAATTCCTCGTAATCGTTATTCTGTTTAACGGCCCTGTGTCGGCTCCACTGACCTAGATTAACACCACTCTGAAACTGCCTCTGTACACTCTGTCCTCCAGGGGGAGACGTAATGGACAACTACTAATCGGGGGTCCTCAACTTACAGCAGGGGGTTCAGTTCCTGACGACAACGTAACTCGGACTTCCAAAACTGTAAAAATGTAATTACATATTATATATCACAAAATATGTAGGGGGGAGGGGCTAACTCGCTTCAGTCTTAAAGGTACAGTGTCAATTAAATTTAACCTTAATACATAATAGAAACAGAGCTGTTTTCCTCACAGGAATGAGGGAATGAGGCTTTCTTAATACATTTATTTATAGGGGGTGGTCATGAGGACATCCTGAATAAATGAGTCCCTCAGCAGATATCACCACCAGTTAAACTGGCAGACCGGGAGAGAACCAGGTTCTCAAGACGACTATCCTAACATCTGAACACCCACCGTGGGAGGAATATGCAGATTTCACCCACAGTACCAACTCTCTGTCTTTTTTGTCTTTTACTCTCATGGTAATAAAATATAAAATTGTTGAAATTTTTCATTACAACTAAATCATCATGAAACAAAAAATAAACACCCTCGACAGTTCTACTGTTCATTTAGACCTTGTTGTAGTTTCTTTGTAATTCGAGGCACCTGTACTTGGTCCATATATTTTCCCTGTAGTTGTTGTACTTCTTTGTATCAATTTTCCTCCTTTTTTCCTGACACCACTTTTCTGAGAAATCCAACATCTCTGTGGACTATAATTTTTGTGTGTGTGTACACGCATATATGCTCACTCTCGTTCTTGTGTCCTGACAATACGCTCTCAGCCAATCAGATTTGCATAAGTAACCT